CGAAACAACTGCGCCCAAACTACTTTGCTGACCTTCTGTACAATCATCTTGATAAAACATGTCCATCAGTACCTATAAATATCATTATTACGAATAATTATTCCGTTATTTTATACGCTTAAACATCAATATCAAGAGAAGAAATAATAAATAAAATATTTAATAGTTAGAATATTTATCATTATTTTTACCAATAACAAAAATAGCCACCATAATAGCACAAAATACAGAAGTAATTAAAAAAGATCTTAAAAATCATTTAAAATTTTCTATAAAAATTTATGCTGTTAAAACATTTTCTGTCAATATATTTGCAATTCACATAAATATTATTAAATGCATGCTACAATAATTAGCATAAACATAGTATAAATAATAATACTCGTATATAAAAAAAAGATTTATTATATTAATTCTCTACATTTAAAAGAGATGAAAGCACATAGAGGAGATCACGCAATTTGAACAAATTATATTTTTTCTACAGTTGGCTATAAAAAGGGGAGAAATATGAAAAAGTTTAAGAGAAAGCTTACTGATGTTTAATTTGCTCTAACGTTTGATGTTGATGCTAAGATATAAATATTCTGCACATGTATAAAATAAATATATTAACAAGCAAGTTTTTTAAACAAGCGAGATATGTTAAACAATTGAGTTACATATTTTTAAAGAATTAACAGGAACGAAATACACGAGTGGTCTGTTTTCTGTTCCTGCACTAGACTGTTTTAGAACTCTCTTTCTCGCTTTAGACAAATATCAAACGTGTATCTATCTCACTTTAAGTTTCAAAAGTGTAAACTAGTTCAACCACAGAAAACAGACTTAATATTGACGCACAAAATAATTAGATTACCAGGATTATTAGTATCACCAGTATTATTTATCGAGAATTTTTAAGATTTAACTCTGTTTTTAAATATATTTCCTCTAATTGTTCAGGTTGCATTTCCTCTAATGTTTACAAATTAGAAAGATATAATCAAAATGATTTAAAAAAGATTATATGTTGAGCATATCTTGCTACATTATAATTATACATTTTGTTTATATATAAACTTATATTATATTGATATTAATTGCATAATGTAACAAAAGTTACAATGGATACATTTAGAACTACAGTTGCTCACTAAGTGAGTAGTACTGAATGCAATCAATATGTCAACTTTTCTAATACTTAAATTTTAATATAAAATTTAAGTTGAGGAACAGTAATAGAAAAATAAAAAGGAAATAGAAAATTAAATATAACTTTTATAAAATCGATACAAGGGTAGCAGAAAAATATTGTAACACCTTAAATCTTTTCTGTGCAACCACGAGTACGTACCACCTAGAACAGCGTGAGCGAAGAATGAGCATGGTTGAAGTTGTTATATATTAGTGGAAAGCATGTAACCAAGCATAAAATATATGCAGCCACAATTAGCCTAGTGTAATCAATTTTGGAATTTATTAGTGCACTACCTGTTGCTAGTAGTAGATATTTTAAATATGGTACAAATTACAATTTTAATTTTTTTTTCCATCAAATTAAACCAAGCTAGACAATTTGTAATGCATTTTAATATAAATTAAGCAAACATGTGATAAAACAAAAAAATAACTTGAATCTAAAAACAATAAATCATAAACCAAATAAATAGAGTTACTTTGAATAAGACTCCTTTGAGATGAATCAATCAATGAATTAATGCCTTTGTTAGCCATGCACTGGATCTCGGTGTGAAGTATTTCCTTTATTTAATCTCTTATACAAACTCCAAACGTTTCGATTCTAGTTCGGATCCTTTTCAATGTCAAGGGGAGAAATCATTGTGTTTCCTGATACAATGAGTTTCGTCAAAGGTAATGGGAATGACATGTTAACAAAACGACAGTTATAACTCATCTGATGAGTATCAGGAAACATAATGATTTCGCGAATGTAAATTTCTGACATTGAAAAAGGTCCGAATTAGGATCGAAACGTTTGGAGTTTGTACGAGAGATTAAATAAAAAAAATACTTCACACCGAGATCCAGTGCATGGCTTACAAAGGTATTAATTTATTGATCAATAAATCATAAACTATTACTAGTAAGATATCATATTCTTCTACTGCATTTACTGTCTATTTAATGCAATGTAATACCACTCATTTTAATTTACATTTTCTGTACAAGCCTCATAAACTATATATACCACTGTGTGTGTCTATTTCATAAGACTGAATTGAAAATATGAAGTATCACATGATAAAACCATATTATATATATTATCGTTATATAATTACACAACATATCTATACATATATAAATATATATATATATATATATATTGTATATGTATAATATTCACAAATTAAGTGTGTGTGTGTGTGCGTGCGCGCGCGTAAGTATATATGTATCTATGTATGTAGGTATGTATATGCGTATGTATGTACGTATGTATACATGTATGTATGTGGATAAACTCAAATCAGTCTTAAAATGTAAATGGTAAGACATGATACAGAGTGTATGTTAATGAAGGTGCAATACAGAGATACAACACAAATTGTACATTTGTACAAATAATGTCTTACCATATCCGCGTACATCGCGACTCTTATGTCTTCACACGAAATTTCTACATGGCGAATATTCTTCACATAATTTCCAGCTAGCTGAAAAGAAAGTAAAAATTCTTAAATTCCTAGACAATTCTTTTCAAATAGAAATAAGTGAGTGCTTAAAATCGTTTAATATTTAGAATATTACCAACCTTCAAAATATCAGCAGAAATGTATTCCAAAACGCCCACTACAAACAAGCTAACTTGTGAATCAATTTTGTGCTGTAATACTTCCTATTAAAAAAAAATGTATTATATGATTATACAGCTTTGACATGTTTGATATGTAAGATCTTTGAATGTTAAAATTTGCATACAAAATACGACTAAACCAACATATAGTACGTACCTTTTGTAATAATTGATGAATCTTATCAACTGGTAGTACTAATGGCGACTTCTTTTTTCCCTTCTCTAAAGCGTCTCTCGCGTCACGAAGAGCCCATCTATCAATGGGTGTAGGAAACGTTCGTCTTACTCTTTCCTCTACATCTTGAGGAGTCTGAGGAGGTGGATGTCCACAAAGCATGCCTAGCATTCTTAAAATTAAACTTTCCACATAGTCTAAGGCATCTTGCCGAGCTTCAAGACTAGGATGTACTTGTTCTAGTACCTATACAATAATAATATTTTCTTGACTATATAACGTATCTACAATATATTATTATTACTATGACATATTATTATACATCACTAACCAAGGATACGTAAGATTATATCATAAAATATAACACTTTGGAACAGATAAGTCGGTAAAGGAGTCGATAGTCGGAGAATAGAGATAGGCGCGAGAGTATGATATAAAAAAATCCACCAATCGCTGATGTTGACAGAAAAGCATTTGAGAAATCATATGGTGGCCGCGCACAGTGATGACGTCGGTCAGTGTCGTTGATCGATCCAGCCTCGACGTAAAATCATTGGGACGAAAAATGATCGAGCGTTGGAGCGAACAAAACATGAGGGGAAGAGACGGGGATGAAGTGGAGGGGATAGAACGGGATAGTAGAAGACAAGAAAGCAAAGTATACAAGACGGGTAAGGAGAGAGAGAGAGAGAGCACGAGCGAGTGAAAGAGATGAGGGGAGGGGGGAGTGGGAGAGGGAGGAGGGAAGGGAGAGAGAGAGATAGATGAAGCGACAAGGAGCGGAGCAGAATCGGAGCAACGAAAGATGTACCTTGCGCAGGGAGTTGACAAACACTCCCTTCCACTTGGCAGCGTTCTCCTCTTTCTGAAAATCGTAGCCCGATGGCTCGCCCACCGCTGACGCCGGCGACGAAAACATTTCACCGAATGCTCGATAGTCACACGCGCTCGTTTAAGAAAAGTTCATGGGATTTTCAAAGAGCATCGTCTGCTGAGCAATCACAAGAAATTGGCCGAGATCGATGAATCCGTGGTTCGGTTCCTTAGGACGGCACGGCTCCTTAGAACGCGAACATCTTCGTCTTGCCCTGGCAGCACGATGCTTTCGTTGCTTTCGACTAAGCCACTCTCTATTGTATCCGCACGCTGCTACTCGCGTTCCACGCGCTCATCGCTCCCGGCAGCGTCATCGAGGCCGAGGCCGTGACCGAGCCAAGAGTCCGAGAACTCCGGCACTCGTGCATTTTACACGCCCTTTATGCGTCGATCTTTCCTGGGATGCGTAATGAACACCAACGTTAACATCACCGACTCAACTGGAACCGACTGGAAACTGAACTGAACCCGACTGACCGAACTCACTGAACTGAGCCTATGATGGCCGCGATACAATCGCGTTCGGAGAATTTATCGATAAATGGGAGTAAAGGGATGGGCAGTTGGTTCGATCGATCGATTACCTCACCGATGTTTTCAAATTCGGCCAATCCTACGTCACTGTTCCTTCTTGTCCGCAGCGTTGTAGAATTTTTACTAGACTTTCATGGAGATATGTCGTAACGACGTGCTTAGATTGAAATTTTATTTGTTGCACACAGTTTTTTCGAACGTGCCGATACTGCCGATTGGTCTTCAGGATGGTTAGAGAAGTGCTTCTGGAATTGAAAATTCCCTATTCGATCAGCCAATCAGCACGTTGGAAGAATGCATGCATAGCGCGTTTGAGAAACGTGAAAGAACGCGTCTGACGTCAGATAATTCAAACAAATAACATATTTTTGCATTGTATGATTGATAAATTTGTACAGGCCAAAATTCTGGTGAAAGTGTACTTTAGCGATTTTAATATATATTTTAGTATATCCCTAACCTGTTTACTTAACATTGGTTAGCTCACATGTGGTCTGTTTTCTGTTTCTGCACTAGACTGCACTAGAACTCTCTTTCTCGCGCTTTCGACAAATATCGAACTTATACCTATTTCACTTTAAGTACCAAAAGTGTACACTGATTCAGACTTGCGATTATTTATTTTGAGACGAAATGGCCAAATGTACGTATTTTTTATCGCGTAAAACGTTATTAGAATTTTGCCAGCCTAAATGTTCAAGATTAAACGCGATACGAACATTTGTAGACAGACCAGCTATTATTTTAGGAATCGAAACAAGTTGCGACGATACAGGATGTGGAATTGTAGATACTACAGGAAAGATATTGAGCGAGGCAATAAATTCGCAACATCTTACTCATTTAAAGTAATTAGTTAATTATAAACTGTTTATGTGAAATTGACATGAATTTAATCCACACTTAAATCACAACTACTTACAAAATTTTTTACTAGATTTATTAAATTTATATTATATATTCTTAGTATTTGTTTTATATTATCTAAAATATACAAAAATTGACTTGTGTATGTTATTAGAAAATATTAAAAACAAATCTAAAAACTGTTAAAAATTGTTCTAGCAAATCATAGCTGTATTCTCATTTATAGACATGGTGGCATAATACCTTCAATTGCCGGTGAAATGCATAGACAACATATTACTACAGTTTGTGAGGATGCACTAAAATCAGCGAATTTAAGACTAAGAAATATAGATGCTATTGCAACTACAACAAAACCAGGTCTTTTCTTATCACTTGACGCTGGAAATAAATTTGGCAAATATCTCTCTAGGATTGGTAACAAACCATATATACCGATACATCATATGGAAGCTCATGCATTAACTGTCCGAATGGTACAGAAAGTATGTTAGAGCTAATTATATGTATAAAACATATATATGACATCAAACATAAAGAAAATTCATATATGTTTTGTAGGTAAACTTTCCTTATCTCGTTTTGCTTGTATCAGGTGGCCACAGTTTATTAGCGATTGTTGAAAATGTTGATAAATTTTATACACTGGGTACTACGTTAGATAATGCACCTGGTGAAGTTCTGGACAAGGTATATCTTGAAGTTTTTGTCTATCACATGTTTGATCATGAATTATTGGATTTAAAATTTTGTCTTCATAAATTATCAGTAAAATTTTATGAAAGAACTCGTAAAAACATCTATGAAATATATAACGATAAATATATTTGTTTTAAACTTTGCAGATTGCTCGTAGACTTAAACTTGCAACTATACCAGAATTCTCGCATATGAGCGGTGGTCAGGCAATAGAAAGTGCAGCAAGCAAAGCTCCAGATCCAACTAAATTCTTTTTCGAGCCTATCTTAACAAAAAAAAGAGATTGTCAATTTAGTTTTGCAGGTATATGGAACAGAAGTTTTAAATATATTTTAGATAAAGAAGAAATTTTTGATATTGCTAATAGTGCGGCAATTCCTAATGTGTATAATTTTTGCGCTGCCATACAACTGGTTTTTGCAAAACACATATGTCTCAGAACGCAAAGGGCAATGGAATTTATTAACAATACGAATTTGATACCACAAGAGCAGCGAACTTTGGTATGCCTAAGATTATGTTAATTAATTTTTGATTTTTTGTTTTACATATTTATTTTAATATAGGTAATATCCGGCGGTGTGGCTTGCAACAATTTCTTGGCAAAGACTTTAGAAATTGTTTGTTCGGAAAGAGGCTTTAAATTCGTTAGAACTCCACCTCGTTTATGCAATGATAATGGTGTAATGATAGCGTGGAACGGTGCGGAAAAGTGGATGGCAAACATAAACGTTCTCCGAGATAGAGAAGAAACCGAAATGGTATCTGTTGAGAATAACGCATCATTCGGAGAAAGTTGGATTGAAAGAGTACGAGATGCAAACATAAAATGTAAATTAGTAAAATTAAATAGGCTTTAAACAAATTTCTATACAGTCTGCCACCTCGAACTCCTATGATAAAAATTCAATTTAAATCTGCATATTTTTCGAGTCATTACATTAACAATAGCATTAGCGTTATTAAAAAAATTTTATTTTCCTATGTTATAAATTTATACAATGGTCGGTGTATGCTCTTCCAATTGTCGGTTTATCCTCTCCATTAGCCGGGAGTCCAAGTTACTATGTTCAAGAGCATGTTTCCTCTCTTCATATTTATCTAATATATTTCGTAGCCTGTTTTTGACTATTTGTATATTTTTATCTTTCGAGATTAAGGACATCGGTAAAATATCATCAAAATGTATCACCTGTTCAGGTTGCATTTCCTCTGGACATGTAGACACGTACTTTGATAAGTCGCGCAATGATGGTTTAATTTCGTTGAGAATATTATCAGCATTTTCAGTGTCCATTTTATTAATTATAAGCACTGCTGGCATTTTTAATAAGTCCGGTTTATAGAGTTCAATCTCTTTATTTAATAAGACTACAGTTTCCAAGCAGGATCTATGTCCATGCCTGGGCGACAATTGAAATCCTTGTATATCTACGATGAACATAAGTAGCTTTGTTCTTTCAATATGTTTTAAAAAATTGTGACCCATCCCAATATTCATGTGCGCTCCTTCAATCAGACCTGGTAAGTCTGCAACGGTAATTTCTCTCAAATCATCGTAATTCATGATACCTAATCTGGGCCTTATGGTAGTGACTACAATAAAAAAAGCACGACTGTAGGATCAAAATTAACGAACAATCAATAAAATATGTAAGAAGTCTTACAGGGATAACTAGCAATTTTAGGCTTGGCATTTGAAACTGCTGCCAAGAATGTACTTTTACCAGCATTGGGAAAGCCAACTAATCCGATATCGGCAATCAGTTTCAAATCTAACTTTATCACCTGAGATTCTCCCTTTAATCCACAGTAACCTGTGTCTTTTGTACCTCCCAAACCACCTTTGGCTACTAATATTTTTGAATCCTCTTCGTTTAAATCTCCTATAAGATTTTTAACAAAGGAGAAAAGAAAAGTAACTAACTGTACAACTTTGGGCAAAAAGTTTTAAAAATTATACCTACCTAACAATACTCCATTCTGGTTATATACTAAAATACCACGTGGAACCGAAATATTTTTATCTTTACCAGGTGCACCTATAATTCCCCTTGCTGAACTGTCATTTCCACAATCTGCGACGACCCGTTTGGTCTTCAAAGTATTGGCAACTTTCTCCAATGTTAGCCCATCTTTTGCAACTACATATATATTACCTCCTGCACCTCCTAACCCTCCATAACGAGACAATCCACCACCTCCTGTACCTCCTCTTACATGAAGACGCAGCGTGTCAATGAATCTAGAACGTAGATATTTTCTTGGTTGCTGTGATAAAACAAAAAGTTTCCTTTAGTAGTTAATACATGTAACTTGTGATACTTGATTCAATAAAATCTGCTCACTTTTTTCACTGAAGCTAAAAGTACTTGTGTCCAAAATACCATTGTATAGGTGTTGTCTAGTACGAGGTATGTAATTATTTTCTTACGATCTTATATTTTAATTTACTTGCGTTTATTAGCCAATATACGCATCATGTTTGTCACGAGAGAGGTTAAATTAAATATATACTTGCATTCAAACGCACTACTTTATTCACCGAGTTTGTCGATCGATCGATATTGAATCCACCAAAAAGTTGGCAAAATTATTTCTAGATGGCACCTTAATCTTCATTTCTGCTGGCTAGAAGCTAACTACATAACATGATTAATAAGGTATTATTAGTAATTATTACTGCAAAATATTTACTTTGTATGTGTGTCATGTAGGAAACTATACGAAGATATTTCTTTCAACATTTAGATGGCGATTAAGTTAAAATTTTATTAATAAGAGGTATGCGACACAACAATGAAAATGGCACTTTGTATAATATATCATATATCATATATATATATTTGTTATTTTGCGATGCCAATATCGTATATCATGCCGAAAACATCTGTTTGTTTATTTAAGTTATGTGTAAATAATAGCATTGCTCGATATATTGGGTGTTCCAACTTTTCCAAGTATTTTATAAATATAATTAATTTTAAGAGAGAGTGAATTGACCTAGTAGAGTCTTCTTATTTATTGTTAATTCTTTAACTTTGAATTTTTCTATGTTTTTAACAATAAATATGTTTATTTTTTTTCATTTTTGAAAATATAATAAAACATGCATATAATAATACAAAATATTATAAAAATATAAAATATATATACTAAATAAACCAAAATACTAAGAATTTTTCACATTTTTAGGAATTATGGTTCCGAAAATTAGGAATTAAAAATAGCGATTGTTTAGTGATTTTTAAGACGTCTTTTATAATATTTTAAAAACATTTCAATAAATCATCTTTGAAAAATCTTTTAGACATACGTTTGTGTGAGTAAGTATAGATTATATACTCTCTATAAGTTATTATTTAGTTTCCTACTTGGAAATAAACCACGTGACGCCGAAATAGACGCGACGGAAGTCTACTCTACTTGTCGCGACGTAAATATTTCATTGACGCAAACATGAATCTATAATATTTTTATTTAGACAAGAAGAACATAAAACGCTTTATAATATTTTAAAAAATATGACAGCATGGAAAAGAGTAATTGTGAGTATATATAAGAATGAAATTATGAATTGTATGTATAAAAGAGAGACAATTATTCAAGAATATATTAAATCCGATTTGTGATCTTATAATATATTAAATTATAGGGTCGTAATAACAAGAGTCGTATGAAAATAATGAAGAAAGTAAAAGATCTTTCTTGAACACTTTGACAAAATTAACGACAATTTTGTTTATATAAATGTGCATATCTTTGTCCTAAACATTAACTATAAGCTTCACACACACACACACACACACACACTATAAGAGCTTTTCTGAATCTTTAGATCTTTTTTTCTAGATTTTCTTTTAAAAAACATCGACTTGCGCGAGAGACAAATATTGCGGCTCAGAGAAATGAATCGCAGTTTGCAAACAATTCTCGAGGAGTTAAACGAAGTCGCGATGCATATCCCGAGGTTAAGTGAAATCAATTATGAGGAGCATCGCGTGGCAGATCAATTGATCGAAGAGACGGGACGAGGGCCGGGCGATCTTCTCTCTTCTCGATGAAACTCGGGGATTCGTCGAACAGCGGAGGCGCGTACGTGAAGCGAAGCGTTAAAATTAAATCTAGCCAGAGGCCGTCGGCTACGTCGTCGACGATGGTGAGTCGCCGCGTCCTCTCAAGCTCAGTCTCAAGAGCATCCCCCGGCTGCACGGATGCATTCCGGTTGCCGGTTAAACTAACATCCCCCGCCGCGATTTTCTCTCTTTTTCTGTGAACCACCCTCTCTTTGTGCGACGCGCACCCACTGCCGAATCTCCACTGAACGTTTGAGAATTCGCGAGACGTTAAATTCGCGCGAAATCGAAACTCTCAATCACCCTCACCTAAGAACTTTATTGAGGTAATCCTTTGTCGTTCAAGAACCGAGTTCACAATTCTAAAATTATTAGGATTTTTCATCGCTACTGTTATCACTGCACGCATCAGCATAGTTTTTATAAAACTTCTCTCGTTATTACACGTTAATAGACGTTATTTTCCGCGGAGATCACGACATTGCGAGTTGATGTTGTTTTCAGCGTGTATACTTAGAAAGGACAATTGAAGTTTGAAATAATGCAGATTTTTCATTTTTGCAATGCACCAATTAGGATTAAAGATGTGTAGGATTAGCGGGACGCTGCGTGAGATTTAAATGTCAATACTATATATCGTTCGCTGTTCAACCAGAGTTTCTCGAAAGAGAATGCTGGAGGCCTGTATATTTTTCAATTTTTTTTTCAGCTAGACTGGAATTTACATTATTTCATCATGCGTTAACGATTCCATTTATATGCATTGGATTTATCTTACAAGAGAAAATCTTTTATTAGAAAAAAATGATAAAAATATCCTTGTTGCATTTTCTTCGAACTCTGCACGTACAAAACTATAATGATATAAATACTTGGAAATAAAGTCTAGAATATAAATCAAATGTAGAATCGATTTGACGAAGTAGTCGTCAGATTATTCGCCGACTGCAGATCGTTCCTGAATGGTTGTAGAACTAGAAGAGCAGGCATGTGTGTGTGTGTGTGAGGAGTATGTCATCGGGTTACTAGCCTTGATCATTGGCCAAATACTTGACAGGGAGTAACGTTGTCACGTTACTCGTGCTAATTTTACGTACGCCACATACGACGCAGAAAATTAGGAAAATTGATAATAACGGCAATTATGCAAATTCAAAAAACATACGATACGTCTGCGAAAGATGCGAATCAATTTTATTATCTTATTTTTTAATTTATCAATCTAACAGAATCTTTTTTTATCCCTAAGTGAAAAAGACTGAACTTTGCGATTTTAAATTTGCTTTTGCGATAGATGGAACGAGAGGACGAGGACTTCGGCGAGGGTTACATCGCGGAGTCGCACCCGCTGAGACCGACGCATCTCACGGTACCGCTCGGAGGACGCGGCGATTCGCGTGCACCCAGCATCAGCAGCAGCGTCAGCGACCTCGATGTTCCAATATACACCAGAGAGACCACCATACCTCTCTCGGCGAGGAAGGTAAAGCTGTCATCGCGATGCGTTCATCGGACAAGCGATATGCTTCGAACAAAATTAAATACACACGAAAATAAATTCGTTTCTTGAGATTAAACAAGCGTTAAAAAAATTACGCAAATTTAATAACAAGAAAATCGAAATCCAATTCGTTGGAAACAGACAAAAATATTTTCGGCAACAATACAAGTACTACGAAATTTTTTTCTTTTTTAAAAATGCTTTAATTATTTTCAAAGCCGTCGACGTAAGAGTTGCGTAAGCAAAAGTGAGAATCTGATATATCATTCAATTGGAGGGACTC